ATCACGGATTGATATCAGTTAGAGATGCTCGCTAGTGACTTGCTACAGGTTGGAGTTTCCTGAGTTCTAGTGAGAAGTCGTGACCAGTGAGGTCCAATTAGATGTCACGTGTGTGGATGGATGTCCCACCAACGACAATGGTTGGGGTCGCGCTAAATCACGAATTGGTAGAAGTTAGAATTCACGAGCCATTGAATCGGGTCCCAGTGGCTGAATGGTATACGAGCTTGCCTTGTAACCAGAAGGTCCTGGGTTCGAAACCCAGTGGGTGCGTACTGCCGATGATTCCCAAACTAGGATGAAACAGCAGCTGTCCAGTACTCCCTGGTTTTCAATGTTTCTCTAACTGATATCAATCCGTGATCAACTCGTAAGACATTTTGTGGTCAGGAAATAGATTGGTATACACGAAACAATATTTAAAGATAGATTGATCCATTGAAAATTGAATGAATTCATTAAATATCTATTTTGTTCCGTGTTAATTTTGAAATGACACTGTCAGATGTCCATATCGGAAAAGAACCTGAAGCCAGAGCTGATTTCAAAAGACTAATCTGTGTGTCAGAATACTATGTGCGATAACCGATGTCACTACGACGACTGTTTATTTCTTCAATGGCAATAAGCCAGAGTTACAGAGTTACAAAGCATAAAGTCTATGAATAAACGTCAACATAAAGCACCATATTACTTCTGATGGTTTTCCTCCAATCTCCTTCCAATTAGCCTACGATTAGGTAAAATGGCCACCAATGTTGTTTCCCGCCAAACATGGATCATTTCGAATAAACAAACCATATTATTATTCATTTAATGTTCATAAACACTGATAGATACCAATAACTACTTCAAAATATCTATTAGTGTGTACTATGACAGCTCATTTTTGCAGAGATACTCTTACGCTCACTAGTGCATATGTTAATTATATGAATATTCGTTAGTCAAAGTGAGATATTGAAATTTTTAAATGTTTTTGAAATTTATTTGAATTTAGTACAGGTGTGCCAATGAACTGCAATCAGTTAGTTTGATTGAAGATAGTTCCTATGATCAGTATTTTTCTCAATAAAAGTTAATCACAACATTTCTCAGTGTAAGCACGAGAGCACAGACTAGAACAACTGTCTTTGTGGGCAGACAGAAAACTATCCTCTTGAGAAATTTAGCAACTCTTTAGTCATCCTACATCTTCATTATGTTGAACAGTATAATTTTTATGAGTTTCCTTCCTCCCCCTTTTAATTATTGGGTTTACAGTAGTATGATTGGTTCCAATGTATATCCTAGGTTCGGTCATTGGTAAGGTTAGAACCCAGTCACCATCAGCAGAAAAGACGTTTGACAGAGGTTACTTCCTTAACTTATCTGACTAGGAAGCATGGTTCCCACTACATGCCGGCGGAACTGATGAAGATGTCAAACCCAACCAGCCAGGCAGAATCGGAAACCAGTTTGGGAATCTTCTGTTTCACTCAGCCAGGATAAACAACAAATAGATTCGAAATTTTCAACACAAATGTGAAGTCAGTCACTTCTTCTATACAAGTCAGACACCTGCAATGAGCGTTTGTCACGAAGAGGAAATCCAACAGGTAACTGTGGACTTATATCAACAACCGACTTCGTTGGTTTTGCACTGAAGATCAAATGGCCAACCCGCCGGAAAGAATTAGAAACAAGAAACTCTGCAGTGGCACGAACCAACGCAGAGCTGATTGCCCGACGAAAATGTAGGAGAAAACAGAGATGGATAGACTGAAGATACGTTGATGAGACCGTTGAATCACACACAGCGTTCAATGCAGGTCAACGCTCACATGGAATCCAAGTGGAAAGCGAAGAGCGAGTGGTCAGTGTGAGGATGATATGGAGATGAGAGATTCTGGGCAATTGTGGGCTCACAGAAGACATCAGAAAATATAACAAAGGGGACATGTGTTGTTGAAGCCCCATGTTCCACTCAGAACCCAAGGGTATAATAACAATATAATAATAATAATTGGGTCAGTGCTGAAGAGTCCCAGACTAGGTCAAAACAACTAACGGTTCCGTAACTGATGTCAGTATGTGTGACTAAATCTACCTTGAGATTATTAGTTATCTTAAAGTTATATGTTCAGCTTACTTTATTGATGTTGTCGGTGACAGCAATGGTGGTTTCCGGAGAATGAGATTTCTTTATGTCAATCCATACCAAAAACACTCACCGCATATCAGACAAGCTGCCATTTCATTTAAGCAGTACTATTTGATTCAGTGACTGGCATTGTAGGCTAGAGGCCAGTTTGTTTTGAGGGTGGATATTCTTTAAAATAGAATGAACACTTATACAATTGCATTCATGGTACTTATAAGTACTATCATCCATGAAGACTTCCTGTCAAACAACTTGCCAAACCAACCTGGAAACTGCTAAATTTTCATTTGAATGATACTTGAAAGATCTACTTATTCCAAGAAGGCTAAGAAAACCTGATCACTATAACAAGTTTAATGGTTTGAAAGAAATTCACATCCAGAAGTGTATACTGAATTCAGACTAAAGCTCGCGGGATTTTCAGTAAACACATTAAGCCAATAAAATAGAATTTTATTTAATTACAGACTCAATTTAGTTAGTGAATCACTGAGAAACAGGAAACACTGGAAAGTTGATTTCGTCCAAGTTTGTAATTCTTCAGTTGTTTTTTTTTATTTTCACTCCTTTACGTTCCCAGTGGAACATAAGGCTTCAAATTAGAGGCTTGAAGTTTTAGTAGCATTGGTATTCATTTTTAGGGGATTGTATTGCTAGCCTCATGCCCAGCTTTCCCTGTTTACAAGTCTTATTACTGGCTTATTAAGGCTTAGGAATGTATCGGCCGGGGATCGAACCTCGAACCATCTGTGTGATTGGCCAGCATTCTACTGCTGTGCCAACGATGCACGTAGATGCAATGCACATTGTCGATTTCACTACTAACAGCCTCAATCAACAAAATAAAGTTATGTTCATCTCGAAGTGTTGGCACTAGGAGCAGACATTGTCGGCATAGACGCACTACTGATGTTCGATGGTTGGAGGCAATCTACGGGAAGCCCCGCTTGACCTAGGTTTCGTGTTAGTCGTTACTCACCAGTCAACAAGGCGTATCTGCAACCGTCTTGAAGGAAATCATGTCCCTGATGAGATTCGAATCCGCGTCACCGAGTGCTGCAGTCAGAGACGTTACTACTGAGCTGTTCGGGCTGGGATCTAATAATTCTCCAAGTGTTTTGCATTCATGTTAAAGTCTAACTTGAAACCAACCAAATTCTTACAGGCTAACACTGGAAACAGTGTCATGTGGTTCATGCTTTTAAAATAATTAATAATAATAGCTTTATTCTAAACAGTGTTCATATAATGTATAGAATTCTAGGCGGAAATTGTTGCATAATACCTACTTTTTGTCTAGGATCTTCAGGTAAAATATTAAGTGACAGTAAATTGCACGACATACTGCTGTCTGGCCTGAAGCGTCAACCAGTCAATCACGATACTTCTTCGTTATCTCCTTTGAGAAATACACAACATTTGGTGGTTTGAAGCCAATTAAGGTAGAGGAGTACTTTTTCTGACCTTAAGACGTAATAATAACTGAATCATTGAAGGCTACAGGCAATTCGTTTTGTTTCCTAGGCAGTGGTAGTTTGTAATAAACATCTTGGAGACATCTAACTCATACACGGAGATATGTTTCCAGCCATGATTCTGAATTTTTTCTTTCAAATTTAGTAGAAACTTGCTAATCAGCAAGTTGTAAACATTTTAAATACTCGTGAGAGTATAAAACACCATTAAAGGTCATATTTTAGTAGATTAAAACAAAGTGAACAAGAGAATGATATGCAATATGTAATGATGGAGTATTTTGGTAGACTAGTTTTCAAACAGACCGCCTGTTACTCAGTTCAGTGTGGCTACCATTCATGTTCATTCATCTGTACCCATATTTTTTATCTCAACTTGAGTATAATTGTTTCTTTTTTTTCTCTTTCCTTCACGTTCCCAGGGGAACATAGGGCTTCAAGTTAGTGGCTTGAAGTTTCTGTAGCAGTGTTTGTTTTACAGGACGGGGTTGCTAGCCTCTTGCCCCACCTTTCCTCTTTACCAGCATTATTTCTGGCTTAGCGAGGTAAAAGAGTGCGTCGGTGGCCGGGGATCGAACCCCATACCATGTGCACGGTCGGAGAGCGTCCTAATTATGCCACCGACGCACGAGTATAATTGTAGTTAACCAATTTTCGGTAAAACATATAACATAAGGGTACATAAGGCTGCTTTATTTATTTTTATTACAGCTTGATTCCACACTGTATTTTTAGTCCAAGTATGAAATTTTCAGCATGTGACATCGGTAGCCCAAATTTTGCAGGCTGACCATAGATATCAGGTGTGCGTCGGCTGTGGGTCGAACCCCGAACCATGAGCATGGTCGGCGAGTATCCTAACCACTGTACCACCGACTCAGATGTAGTATACTATTTAGTTTAACAGTTAATATTATGTCACTTGGTTGAAGATTCTGTCATCCATTTTCAATAAAACCATTTATTTTTCAAGTATTGATTTCCTTTTGTAGGGATTCTGTCTGATTGGTTGGAGGATTTCATCATAAACTGACATCATTTAGAGAACCACTGGAAAACCTTGCAGTGCCGGACAGGTGTTTCATCCTAGTTTTGGACTCTTCGTCAGTACGCGCCCATTGGGTCACACAAGGCTTAATGGCCTACGAGCTCACCTTGTAACCAGAAGATCCTGAGTTCGAACCCTTGTCGGTGAGTACTGAAGAGTCACAAACTGTCAAGTATTCCCTACAGATTTTTCAATGGATCTCTAACCGATGTCAACTTATGATAAAATCCTCTAACCAGTCGAAACCATTTAATTGAATATCCACTTTTTTTTTAAATGGTGTACTGATTTATGCTAACTCCAACGTTATATAATCTAATTTTGATTTAATTAGAAAAACTCTACGAAATGAACATTTCAGACGCACAATTATTCTATACAAGACAATCTACAAACTGGCCTATGATGTTTCCTTTCAATAGTGGTACAACAGATCTATATGAAAAGCCTCGTTCTGTAGGCAGTAATAGTCTGCACAGTCATCAACTTCAATCTTCTTCTTCACCACCGCCGGCGCCAATTCCTTCTATTTCTCATCCTCTACCTCCTCCGCCTCCACATCATCAACATCAACATTCACAAGAACCTCAACAGCAACAACAACAACAACAACTTCAGTCATTGCAACCAGACACAAATGCATTACATGAATTTATGAATTATGGATTACTCCCGTTTTCATCGAATCATGTTAGTCAGTATAATACTACTAACAACAACAACAATAACAGCAGTAATAGTAGTATAAACATTAGTAATCAGATAGATGGATTCTATATACCTTCATGTATTGCTGCAGCGCAGAGTGAAACACATTCAACTCTGACATCTGATTCACATTTACCATTAACTACAGAGGCTTCAAATAGCATGTTTCATGGTATTTTACCGAATTCGACTACTGAACGACTGACAGACATCAGTCCTTCCTATAAAGATATGCTTTTGTCACATCATATGAACAATAATACTTCGACTAACAACAATAATCCTAATATCGGTAACAGTAATAATAATAATAATAATAGTGTTAACGGATCAGACCTATCGAAGTCATTCCAACACTTAGATCCATGGACTTGGATGAATATGAATCATTCAATGAATTATCCAGTAACACTTTCGAAATCGATATCTTCATCGACAGATCTGTCGTCATCATCATCTCCTTTAACATCGATATCTTCATTGTCTTCGTTGGATAATCCTGGAGTAATAACAACCTCAGAGTTAGGTAATAAGTCTCAACGTCTTTCAGTGATTACTAATACTAATAGTACTACTGCAATGACAGCAGGGGTGAAAACTACATCGAAATGTGATGAAATCTCATCAATGTCTTCGCTTATGGGTATGTCCTCGCCAAAAAAGTATTCGAAAGGCTTCTTATCTTTACATAGGAGTCAACAACAACAACAACACCAGCAGCAACAACAACAACTACTACTACAACAGCCGCAAAAATTTGAAGATTTTCTACCCACTGGTCTATTCAATGAGCATCAAGCCTATAAAATGTCTCAGAATGAATGTATAAATAAACATAACAGTACTACTATTACTACTAATAATAATAATAATCACCATGGTGAAGAAACTACCCAAGAATCCCAGGGAAATTTGATTCATAATAATAGTATTTCATCAGGTTTCCGTCTACCACCTATTAATCTGACCAATACAAATGTCTACTCATCACAGACAATGAAATCCAATGATGACATTAAAACATCAGCTTCCTCGGGAGTATACGATCGAGTGACTGGAGGCTATAGAAGTGAAAATCGAAGTAATCACGGGAACAGTAGATCATCATCACATCGATCAAATAGAGTATACACTTCAAATAATGATTATGATCAAATTTATAAATCACGTTTATCGAATAATCAACAACATCAACAAATGAGTGATACTAAAGAATTGCACTCTTTAACGAAACGAAAACGTTCTTCCTTGAACAATAATAATAATAATAACAGCGCCAATAACAATGTTAACAATAATGGTGGTAATAGCATTACTAGTATACACGATAATACTAATAATAATAAGAGTATAACTGGTCCTAATTCTAATTCCACCTTTCCACTATCAAGCCATCAAACCTCACCGAATACAATTTCTCAAAAAGGTGATATTTTCAAAAATAACTTTGAATTAAGTAGTATTTTTACACCGTATGGAAATACTACATCGAATAGTTTGGATATCACGCATCATTTAGGTAAATCCCATTTCACTGAACTCCTTCAGCATAATGAGAATGATCATCTGTCAAAGGGGAGCAATATGAGGTTAACAAATAACAATAGTCATATGAATACGAATAATGATAGTGAATTAATTGCAAAATATGGGCCAAAATTTATAAAAACACCAGTGGACAATGAAATCAGTCTTCCTGTACACATGAATGATTATGATTATACAAATTTGTCGTTTTATACAAAACACGCAAATTCTTCACTTCCTACAAATCAATGGAGACCACAGTGTAAGTAATCATTTATGAATATATTGTATTATTAATAATAATAATAATAATTTCGACAGATTACTTATGTATTTAATTTAAGTGAACACGATGTAAATGCTGTGACCTATTGTGTTATGAAGACTTCTCTACTAAACCAGTTGCAGTGGTCACAATTTTTTTAATTAAAAAAAAATTTTTTTTTGATTTACAGCTTGATTCCACACCGTATTTTTGGTACAAGTATGGAATATTCAGGATGGATATCGGTAGCCCGAATTTCGAAGGCCGACCATAGATATCAGATGTGCGTCGGCAGGGGATCCAACCTCGGACCATGTGCATGGTCGGTGAAAGTATTAACCCTGTGCCACCGACGCCCAGATTACTTGATGTTTATTTTTAATTACAAGATTCCTGTTAGCCACAGGATGTGGGGACTTACAGCTTCCTTGACCTAATTCAGAACAATGCAGAATAATTTAATCCGAAAATCGACATGACTAGGTGGTATCAGTTCCCTGTAAATGAACAAGACGGATGACGGCAGAAATAATGTCGGTTAGGATAAAATTCGATGTACATTAACAAAACCATGAAAAACAATATAATAGAGCAAAGAATATCCTTTTCGATAATTTCCTCTTCTGGCTCTACAATTATATATATATATGCTTATATACAGAGAATATTCTAGATTAGTAGTCAATAACAACATTAGTGTTTTTTAAATAATATCGATTTGTAAAATATGATCACAATGAAATTACAGTTCATTAAAGATGCTTAAATTATAATAGTAATTATAAAAATATAATAGCAAATAGAATATCAAATACAATTTAGGAAATTTTCACAACAAACTAGGGAGCATTCGAACCTAGATGACCAAGGTAAGGAAAGTGTCTGAACTAACCTCTTTTGGATGCATAAATTAGGTTTCTTAATATGGAACCCAATGACCTCAGCAATATGTAGTAGACGAACTCTTAAGGTGAAGTTAGGATTAGTTAGTATGCGGTAGATGACTTTGAAAGCCACCTTGTTGACATCAATCAACCTTATATTCAGTATCCACAAGATGAGATAGAGTAGCGCTATGAATGGATATTGTTTGTCCTTTATATAACTGCCTAATTTCGCCTCTTCCATGTGTATTTACCAATTTAACTGTTCTTGTGGAGTCAGTTACATAGGCCGCACAATTAGGCGTGTTGTTTGTCAGATTTCTGAATTTCATACTGCGTGGTTATGTCAAGGACAAACAATATCCATTCATAGCTCTACTCTATCTCATCTTGTGGATACAGAAAACAAGGTTGATTGATGTAAACAAGGGGGCTTTCAAAGTCATCTACCCCATACTAACTAATCCTAACTTCACCTTAAGAGTCCGTCTACTACATAGTACTGAGGCCATTGGGATCCACATCAAGAAGCCTAATCTATGTTTTAGGATTTCATCATGAGCTGACATCAGTTAGAGAACCATTGGAAAACCTGGGAGTACTGGACAGCTGTTTCGTCCTAGTTTGGGACTCTTCAGCAGTACACACCCACTGGGATTCGAACCCAGGACCTTCTGGTTACAATGCGAGCTCGTAGACCATTGAGCCACTAGGACCCGATCCAATGGCCCAGGAATTCTAACTTCTGCCAATTCACGAAACCAATCAAATCCCTACAAACCATCACTTGAATACCTAATTTATGTGTCTAAAAGAAGTTAGTTCAGACGCTGTGCTTACTTTGGTCATCTAGATTCGAATGATCTTCAGTTTGTTGTGAAAATTCCCTTAATTTTATTTAATATTTTATTTGCTACTATATCTTAATTATTATTATTATTAGTATTTATACATCTTTCGTGGACTGTAATTCCATTGTGATCTTACTTAACAAATCGATATTATTTAAAACACTAATAATGTTATTGGTTGCTATTTTAGAGTATTCTATGTATATAAGCATGTATATATAATTGTAGAGCCAGAAAAGGAAATTATCGAAAAGGATATTCTCTGCTAAATTATTTGGGTTTTTTATAGATGTCTGAATGAATATTTTCGCCATATTAAAACCATAAAACTTACATCGATATCACAATCTGCAAATCCTCTTTGTTTGTCTTTTATTGGATTGCTTCTCAGTGCTGTTGCCATCTTCTCGAGCTTGCTCAGTATTAACTTTTCCTGGTGACACATAAATTATCATTGCTTTTGCCAATACTTCACTCAGTGTACTACTTATATCAGTTTATAAGTATTATATATTATCGTTTTCATTTCAGTGTGCGTCCAATCCATCTCCAATTCCTTCGGGTCTATTCTTTGAGACGAACAGGTCTTTGCTAGATTTCTTCATTGTTAATCCTTCTTGACCAGCCATTTTATCTTCAGAACTTAGCGAAGGCATCTTTTGATAAAAAGTCTGCAGTAGCCTTTTGGAGATGCTTCTCGTGACACTCGAAGTCTCTGAACCGCATAGAAGCACTGATTTACATCAGTGTTAAAAGTTCGAATCTTGTTCCTTCTGCTGAGTGCAGCTGGTTTCCACATTGGTTTTGGATTAATGAAGGTCTGTCATGCTTTTCTGCATCTGACTGGTTTTGACATCCTCAGACGTGCAGCCGGTAGTCAAGATGCAGCTTTCAAGATAAGCGAAAGAAGTGTCTTCTTTTAGATTTCTCTCGCTGACGGTATTTATCATTTCCATCTTCTCTAAAGTTCAACTGATGTCTTATGCTCTCTGCCTCTTCTGTTAGCTGGTGTGTTTTCGCCTGTAGATCTTTGAGTTTGTGACATTAGACAGATCTTCTAGAATCTTCTTATCGGTCCAGTATATTCTTGTCATCCGTCCCCACCCCCCCCGCCACACACACACTGTCCACCTTATCATTCAGTCCACCACAACCAGAAGTATTATCGATAATAGTAAACAGTCATACATTACTCCCATCTTCATTCCAAACTATTCTCTGAGGTTTCCGTTGTGCATCGCTTGACATTTGTCTTCATCAGTTACCTTTTGAATGAGGTTGATAATGATTTGAGGCACTGCACGCCATAGTATTGAAATAGTTTCAATATTACTTCATAGTCGAAGCTGTTGAATGCCTTTCCAGAGTTGATGAGGCTGAGGTTGAGATTTGTTCAGAGTGTAGTATGACACATTTTATCTCAAATAATATCTGTAAATAGATCTCAGGAAATGAACAGGATATTTTCCACTTTCTTTTTAAGGATGGGCGTTGAATTCGAAATTTAATTTAATCAGTATTGTAAATACTAGAATGCAGCTCACCTTACATTTAATTCATTAACAGCGGATAGTATGTTTGCAATCGATAAAATAGTCAGACTTCTTAGTATACTAGTCGATTTAATAATTATGTCAATAAATAACAAGCGGATTTCAAGGTGGACATTCGGTTATGAAATCTTCACTCATTAATTACAATGTCAACCTACAATTTTCCCTACTGGACACAAATCTTACCAGTGTCATCAGGATTCTGACCGCATAGTCAAATCGTATCCAAGTTAAATTGAGTTAAAAGGCAGATTGATGAATAAATACCTAATGGTTGTCGTATATCTTCCAGTTACCCAGTGTCATCTAGAGTTAATCTCTTCACACCATAGAATTTCTCTGCATTACACTACTACTACTACTACTTGTCAATAATGGTATTAATCGCTGTACAAAACGTAGAGACTGAAGAATCTGATATGATGTCGCAATAAGTTACCATGGCAACTAACAATCAGTTGATATAAACAAATTTTTTATACAACAAAAGTAACTCTCATGAGGGGAATCCAAGTTTCACATTTCACCTTGTTTGGGACTTGTCATCTGGATATGCATGCATTCCCAGTGAGTAATGATTTTCCCACTAAGATACGAACACTGCACCCATCGACCCAAACCCTGAAGCATTATCCCCTAGGCCATTAGAGCCAACTCTTGTGCAATGTGTATAACTAATTAATTATTGAGTTGGTGAGTCTCAAATAAGACGAATCGCATATCGTGGATTCAGCTGCAAGTCATCACCACTAGAATAACTTCTGGTTAATCCTTAGACATAGTCACAACATCTGTACTAGAAACCGATACACCGACAGAGGCTGAACATTTCAGCCCGACAGAATAAATTAACAGGTGAGGTGAAATTAACCTGAAAACATAGAGAAAATAGACCAATAATTGAATTTCAGATTTCCGAGTCGATTGATTGGACCGAAGTGCTCGGCCTTAGGTGGTTGACATGTCGGCTTCTTGTGCAGATGCTTCGACGATGTCTGGGCATGTAATTAGAATTTAATTGGTGTATGGTGACAGACAACAATCAGCATAAGTGGAAAGAACCTGAAAGAAACAGCCTCCTTCACCTACCTGGGAAGCATCGTCTCAACTACAGGCGGAACTGACGAGGACATCAAAGCCAGAATCGGAAAAGCAAGACAAGCTTTCATTACTCTCGAATCTGTGTGGAGGTCAACAGCCCTACTCAGCATCAAAAATAAGATCCGGATTTTCAACTCCAATGTGAAGTCAGTCAGTGCTACTATACGGATCAGAGACTTGGCGAGTCATAAAGAGCATCTCAAACAAACTTCAAACCTTCATTAACAACTGTCTCCGCTCAATACTCAAGATCAGATGGCCAGAAAAGATCAGCAACAGGGATCTCTGGGAGCGAACCAATCAGGAACCGATTGTGAAACAAATAGGCAGAAAGAAATGGAGATGGATTGGCCATACGCTGAGGAAACCATCAAGTGACATCACTAGACAAGCCCTCGAGTGGAACCAGGCCGAAAGGGAGGCGGCGAGTTGGTCGTCCAAGGGTGACTTGGAAGAGGTCATGCGAGGAGGAGATGAAAGCATGTGGACAGACCTGGAACAGGGTGAAAAAGTTGTCAGAAAACCGAAGTCAATGGAGGTGCGCAGCTGAAGCCCTATGTTCCTCTAGAAACTAAAGGATACAATAATAATAATAATAATAATTGTAA